ATGAATTTTATATTCTAACATAGTTTATCACACACATCACTATGACGTAAAAATATTTTAAATCCAAAACCAGTGTGCAATATTTTCTGTTATATAAGCAGTTGCCACAAAAATATCACAAAAATATTGTGACTTTTTGCGTCATTAGAAAAATATAAAAATGTTCATATGAATTACGGTTGATTGCAATGTCAAGAGTAATGAAATAAAGAAAAGTGCAATCAACTTACATATGTAAAAAAGAAAATTATTATCAAAAATCTTCAGAGGAAATATGAATTATGTAAATATTAATGAGAAATAAACTGTCCGAATGTACTATATGTGGGTTATTTAAATATAATAATGACTGAACAGCGTAAAACATTAAGAATTATATATAAAAGAAAAATTAAAATATAAATTTAATTACAAACTATTATTTTAATCAAGAACTCGATTCTAGAGTCAATCAAAAGATCTAGATTGAGAACTTATATAATTTTTTACAACTTTATATATGTTTAAATTTCTAATAATTGGTAAGAATCAGATAAATGGGAAAACTTGAGTATTTGGTTTATTACAAAAGTTTTCAGGAACCATTTGAAGCTTCATACACTCGCCGCAACGATATTCTTATCTTTTTATATCCATTTGAAAAATAGAAGTCTTTGAAGTCTTGAAAATATTCATATTCATTATTTATTAATAGTATTTTCGGAAATTTCTGTCTCTTATGGAAAATATTCATCAAGAAAGATTACTACTGCAATTGCTCCTTTATTTTCGGAGTATAGTTTCGACTTCGTTACTTCTCTAAAGTTTAAAATCAAAGCTGAAATTTCTATAAATTACGCTGAAATATATTTTGTTATAATTATTATAGGAATACTGTTCTGATTTCTTATGAATAAATTCTTCCTTTTCTTCTTATTTGGCACTACAGTCCGGTGTTACCCTTGGTCGCCATCACAATCTGCATCCATCTGTCCTGATTTTCTGCTACTTTCTTCCAGTTTAGTACTACAACCTTGTTTGCATTACCACACACGGTCTCATCCCATCTTGCTCTCAGCCTACCTCTGTGCCTGATAAATCTCTTTCACTCTTTTCAATGACTGCAATATGCAGTCTGTATACGCACAGATCTGCTACGATTTTGTTATACTATTGACGAGATTTTCAAGTTAGTGAATGGTGTTGTATAATGTTAATATAAATAGAAGTACCGAATTGGAATAAATTCAAATTCTTTCTTTTTGACAATTTTTACTAGCGACTACCTTTTTATATCAATATAAAATAGTTTTGTTATGTCTGTTATTGTTTTTAGTTAATGTTTACTCTTCATTGAATGAATAATGACCATAGAAGGCACAAATCAGTTAATATCAATAAGACATCAATAACAATATAATTAGACAACTCATGACAGTTTACTAAACGTGTCCTTTGCTTACAATTTTTCAAACAACTACAATCAAATATAATTTACATAATATAAACCCATTTCAAATTTACTGATATTACAAGCGATATCAGTATTTCTGTGTAACATAATAAGAGTTTTGTTTATTATTATTGTTGCTCAACAAATAAGGAATTTTTATTATAGAAGGAGCTTCCATGATATTCGAAGGCAGACACGAAACTTATATGCTTTCAATTGAATATAAGAAAGGACAATGAAGAGCAACATTTGGTGAATGATACCTAATACATAAAAATTGTTTGTCTTATAAATACAAATGATGAAGGTATAATATATAAAAAACAACAGGAAAAAATAATGCACACTATGCAAAGCAAAGATGAATGAAATGTAATAAAATCTGTATTATCCAACAGGGAAATGATTCATGGATTTTTATGCATTACTGAATATTGAGTAAAAGACAAAAAATGGTAAAATATATAAATAAGACGAAATTTTTGTTATTCATTCCCTTACTCTTTTGTTTTTAAACACAATATGCATGTATATTTGAAGCTGTTTTTAGATAACAAATATGTCCTGAAATTAATTAAAAAGTTTATGGAAATAAATTAATTACTGATTAATGGTTTCCCTAACATTGCGTACTGTTGCATTTCTTAGATAGCCTCAAAACACTTTAAACAGTAATTATATGCGGGTACTTCAGTTTAACTGTTAAAGACAATAAATTTATTTTTATTCCTATAATCTGTGAAAATTTTAAAATTTAAATTAGGTATTTTTAACTTTATTCAACAATGAACAATACTTCACATTACCAGCATCTGTTTTTTATTTTTATTTATTCAAACAGCGGGCAACTAAATATTATCCATAACAGCATGAGTTCGACAAATACGTTCTGATATTTTTAACAAGAAAATTTCTCAGCATTTACAAAATGTGTACACCGGTGCGTATGAGTAACGTCATTTGTTGACAATATTGGATTTAATATGCAATGTGAGTTAAGATAAATATTTTAAGAAAAGAATTGATACAGGAAATAATTTAAATTGTCATAACTCTTTAAAGATAAATAATAACCACAAATTATGGGTAATTCATAATTTGTTATAAAAATACTTATTTTTCATAATTTTCATAATTATTTATTAATTTTTAGAATAATATATTTTTAAGAATTAGTACATGTTAAACATATTCATAAATACTTGCTGCAGGATTGTGGAGATTTTTTTTCAACTTAAAATTTAATAACTTATTAGCTTAACTTATTAGATTATTAAATGTTAGTGCCAGTTTCTTTGTTTATACTTGAAACCATCTACTTATATTACCTGTGGTCTCTTTGTATAAACATAATTGGTTAACTAATAATACTACTATACCTACTTATATTCTTAAGCTAATAAAATTTTAGTGGAAGCTATGAAAAATTATATGAGAAAACATAGCAGAATTTTGTATCAAATCATTTCGATTTAAGTACCAGCGCAATTGTAGTATAAGGTGTAATGGTAATTTTATTTTTATCGTACTGTATTTTAATGAAATAAAATATTTTAAAAAGGTGTATAGTAATTGATAATAAGGAATCTGCAAATTTGATGAACATAATTTTAGGAATTATGTGTAATAATATGTTTATTACTGAGGTAACAATTGTATTTTAGTAAAATATAATTTGTTGGCAATTTATATAGAATATTAAGGTAATAATTCGTAAATAAATAATCTCATACAATAACATTATTAAAGCCTTTTCTGGTATAATGATCTATATGATGAACTTGTATACCATATATAGTAAAATCGATAAAGATAGAGTTTGAGATGAAGTTCAGTTGGAGAAAGGTAATTTTGAGTGAGATTGAATTGATGGTGTTGAAGGAATGAAGATAAAAATGTAGACTCATGCATAAAAATCAAGGTGTTAATACAAATATGAATGTCATATTTTTAATAAATTTCAATATATTCTCTTGTAGAATATATTGACTAATATACTCACTATATATTGACTCACTGTAATAGATCGTGACTATTTAAGCATTGTTAAATATATTGCACCAAATCAGTTTCAATGCAATACAACGCTCTCGACCTGCATAGTTAATTACAAACTTATACTTACAGCTCCAAGTTAGATACACTATAACAATAAGTGTTATTATATATAGAATACTAAATTTTGGCAAACATATTTCATGAGAAAAAATAACATCAATGATGATGCTGTTATATTATTAAAGAAGCATGGTAGATTCTTTAGTAATAGTCAAGTACCAACCAACTCCAAATACTTTCCACACATTGCATTAAATATTGTTCTCTCCAGCATTCGATTTGAGAGCGAGATCTATACGCACATAGTGACTAACATGGGAACTGTGTAGCAAAGATACAACCATGAAATATGCTATTGTATATTTATATATCCTTCATCTATAATACATATTTTTTGAAATATACTATACATTCATACCTGCATATCTATAAAATTATGATTTTCTCGCAAAAATTAAAATGAGATCTCTTGTTCCAGGAAGTGGAGGAAGTATTATGTTTGTTTAGAAGCCAATACTAACAAACTTATATAATCTATTAATTTAAGTAAAGCTAAAATCTGCATTATTATTACCCTTTCAATTGATCCTAAGTTAATAGGTTGTATGGATTTCTGACTGCTGATTTATGATTTATCTGCTTAGAACAAAGCAATATTATATCTCAACTCATATCTATTGTGCGAAAGTGCATTCTTAGTGAGAAGTTATACTATAATTCTTTTCAAATCCTTCTTCCATAAAACTATCTAAAATCGATAAAAATCAAATAGTCTCAAGATACGTAAGAATATTTTTAGTCTAAAATACTCATATCACTGAAACTCTATACATAGGTAATAAAGTTTATTATTAGAAGACACAATGTTTTAAAGCAACAGCACTTCAGTAACACAGCAGACCTTTAGGTGGCAATTTAAAAAAAAAACAAATATTTATATTGTGTAGATATATGTATTCTATTATATTATATTCTAATATTCTATTATCAAATAATACGCGTACCACAAAGTGTTTGTACAAAGCTAAAAAACAAAACTTAGAAGAGGATGTATTGAGTAACTAGCGATGTTCTGTGGGCATATCTACCCACTGAGGTAGATATGGGCCCATGAGAGTGACAGAGCTCCAGTATGCTGATTAGTGACAAACTGGATCAAAAATATTAAAAACAAAATATTGTCCTTATAACAATAGTCTTTAAGTAAAATAATTGATCCATGATGAATACGAGGAGTATTTCTCAAACTGACTCTTGAACCTTAACTAAACTAATTTATTCATTAAATAAATATTAAAATTTTACTTGGTTTTCCTTTTTTTGTTATTGATATAAATACTTTTAAAGTTAGTCGTCCTCTTGAATGAGGTTAGTTACATTAATACAGGTCACCTAATATTATTGGGAAAGTAATTTACCATAATATATTTTATTAATAAATTAAGAATTACTAGTGCTTATGTTGTATTCAAATTAATAAAAAAAATATTTATTTTATATTTGCACTTACCAGTTAAGTGTACCGCCACAGCGGGTGGCATCACAAAAATGCCTACCAATAGATCTGCAACTGCCAAACTCATTACGAAGCAATTTGTGACGGTCTTGAGGCGACGAGTTGTAATTACAGCCAAAATGACGAGCGTATTACCAATAATTGTAATGACAATAAAAGTACAGAAAACTGCAATCAGGCAAATTCCTTGCCAGGATAATATGAGATCATAGAAATGTGACCATTCAGCTTCGGCCAATGCCGTAACCGTAGCAGTAGATGCTGTTGTAATTGTTGTTGTGGTTGCCGACGCTGTTGCTGTTGTACTAAGTGTTGTCAACAGTAATGAACGATTTATGGCATTGTCTTCCGTTTCCTCGTAAGCAAAGGAAATGTTTTCCTGCGTTGAATACGTTGTTGCCACATTAGTGCTTGCTGCTGCTGTTGCTGCAGCTGCCGTCGCCGCTGCGGAGGCAACATAAGCAAATGATGTAGATTGACTTAAATTTAAGTTATTATTGTAAATGGCATCCATATTTGGTATCGTTATAGTTTTCAATATTACGGTTATAGTTGCCGTTGATGTTGATGTTGATGTTGTCGCTACAACTTTGTTTATTTGTGCTGTAGTTGATGCTGATATCTATGCACGTTCATTGTGCAACATAATTGTATGTAATACAATTCTGAGCGGAATGTTCACGGTTTACAACATTCAATTGGTAGTGCCTAATATTTCTGTATACACGCAATTGCGCCAATGAAGTCGTCGTCGGAATTTGTAGCTATAACTGAAACTGTCATGGCCTTTCATTGGCACAGTTTGTTGATGCAATTGCGGTAGTAATTATCACTTGAGTCTATAACGTTCAGCCTACGAAATGTTTTGCCTTGGATTGTTTGCTGTAAGTAAAAGAATAAATTCAGTTTTTTAGTATTACAAGGCATTTGCATGTTTTCATTTCATTAAATTCAAAAAGGATAAAAACGAATTTTTACGGGTTTGACCAAAATGCAATTTTGTAGTTTACCGGTCTCAACATGTTTTCTTTGCCGGTGGCTGCACTTCTGCTAGGACTAAGATAAATATTTTCTTTTTTTTTTTTGTCATAGTAAGGAATTATAAGAAAACTCTGATTCAAGTTTCATTATTTATAAAGTTTATTGTGGAAACGTAAAAAGTTATTTAGGAAAAAAATTTTTTATATTATGGTAGTGAATATATTTCTTAAGTATATAAAATTTTTATACAACACTTACTACAAAAAAAAATTATGTATATTTATTTAAATATGAACTTCTTGCCTTGAACATTTATCAAACTGTTTTGTGCATTTACTAACAATTCCTTAGTTATGAAAACAGAAAAAAAAATCGAATTTAAGTATAAGTGTATATATATAACTTTTGTCTTTTAAATGACGGATTTTAAAAAAATTTATAATCCCTAAAAAACCGTTTTTATTTTTATTATATATTTCACATTTTCTTCACCCTAAATATTGAACCCGACAACATGTATTCCTTCTTATAGCTTAAAATCCACTTTTGTGAGCTGAAAGACTTACTTGCACTTTTGACGCCATTTTTCACACTTCTGAAATGCATTTCATTGAAATGCCAAAGATGTGGAGATTTTTAATAATAAATCTTCATTGTGCCAAAATTCACATTGTCAAGTATGTTTAATGCCACAGAAGTTTGGGAGTTATGGAAACTATAAAGCATAGTTATGCATTATTAGGGTGCATATATATACGCCTACATATACACATAAATCTCAAGTGCTGCTTTTAAGCTGAAAGCGCTTTCCAAAAAAGCAAGTTCACTTCACTAACATCAAGGATAAGGCTACGCATTGAATTATTTCAGTGTAAAATTGAAGTGAAAAGCTGTCTCCTTCAATGAAAAATGAAAAATAGCGGAAATTATTTTCAATATCAATCTATTTAAAAATAAACAGTTTTTTGTTGCTTTGTCCATAAATAATTGTGGTTCTTGAATAGTCTTTCATAAATTCATTGCCAAATTTTGGCAACTTTATTTATTTGTTAGCAATTTTTTATGTTATTGTGAAGGTAATTGATGTGAAAATAAATATAATATATATAAGTATATAAACATTACTATACATATATAATATATACACCTTACGACTTAATTGTAACATCGGAAAATGTGACAAATTTGTACAAAGATATAACCTATCACTTAATTGTTTTAGTAACTAAGGTCGTGTGCCAGTTAGGCTAAGTTGGGTTCTAAATGAGGGAAATTCTAAGTTGTGCCGATAATGTAGTGATGTGTCGATACGTGTTGATAAATGGCTAAATGTGTGCAGTGCAAAAAATCCTAAAAAATCTCCCATTTGGTTTATCATCAACTTAGCCTAACTCACACACGTCCTAAATAAAATTTAAGAAAAAATTTTATCCTTGTTGATTTTAATTTAGTTTGATTTAATTGTTATTTTCGAACAGTAATGAAGAAATACCAATAATAATTTTTGTTAATTTATTGAAATTTGGCTGATTCGAGTGTTGCCAAGTATTTATTATCAGTCAGTTTTCAGGAAGTTTTCTGATTTTTATCTAATTGGTTTATAATTTGTATATAATTTGTTGGACTGCATGTGCCAGACATCAGAGTTTTAAATTCAAATCTTATACAATTATTTAAAAATACTGAATTTTAACACAGAATTTGTACAGATTGTATTTTAGATCAAGAGCAAGAAATTAATAAGATCATTATGTTACAATTAACAAAATCTTATTTCAATTCATGTTTTCTCATCTCGTAGCTAAATGATCTTTCTATAAAGATCGTAATATGCACATCACGCCTAGATTAAAAATCATCATTCCCTGGATTAGGCTTTATGTATAAAATAATACTATGGGGCTCTCCTTCCCGATTCTTGTATATAATTTTTTGTTAGTTGTTACTTAAAGCATTACTAATTTGACACTAGTTTAATATAGAAAGAAAATAATATAATTATTAATATGTATAGAAAATGATATTTTATTAAAATTATTCGACTAAGTCACGTCAATAAAATATTTAAAATTGCATTTTAGTTTAACGAACACGTCATTATATTGAAATTAAATCTAGCAAATCAAGTTAATTTATATATTTCATTATTCATTGTAATTAAAAATAATAAATGAAACCCCATTAGTAACTGGAATTAACTATTTTGAAAAACAAAAATTTAAAAAAGATAGCTAAATGGTTGAACGTTTAAGTGTGTTACTAAATTTTTCTGATAAATCTCAGTACGTTAAGTGCTTCAAAGTGCAATAGGAGTAACCAATGGGAAAAGGAAATGAAATCAGCAACAAAATAAAATAATTGCGGCTTTTGTAATTGCAACCAAACCAGAAAACTAGAAAAGCAGAAAACTATTCGAAAAGAAAATAAAACAATTTATTATAAAAAAGTTAAATTAAAACAATTTCACAATTTCCTTTGTAAATGCAATATCCCTTTAATCAAATAAATTGATCAAATTAAAAACCACCCAGAGGAAGAGTACAACTATTGCGGTGCTAAAAAGAACCGGAAAGAAAAAGTAATAAAATATATTCACAAAAAAAAACCAATTTAAAAAATATAATTGAAAACATTAACAAAAACAAAAAATAACTTAAAAAATATATATATATATATATAATGTATATAGCAATAAAATTAAAGACTTTATCGTTTAAGGAAAATATGTACTGTATATTTTGAATATTTTGTGGAGTTCGGATTGTCTTTGCACAGATAAAAATTGGTGATAAGAGCACTTTGATTCATTAAAATTACTCATAGATAAAATGATAGATAACGGATAGTTGCAACAATAGATATCTTTCCGCACCCATAACAACGATTATTCCCTGTTTTACTACTAAATTTCTCGCAAGAACTCTTAATTTCCATGTTATATTTCTTTACTTCCAGTATACGGTCGAGAGGTCTGATTTTTTAATATGAGTCTACAGTTTAACAACGTAGTACTTTTTAATTCTGATATGTTCTATTATTCTCATTGGTAATTGCACTTCTTTGAGAAAGTTTTCAATTTTTATATATCATTAAACTCCAGTGATTATTGCAAGTATTTTTTAACGGAGCTGAATGCAACATATCGGTGTTGCATGAACTGGAGTTAACAAACAACTTATAATTTCTTTTGAGATTATTCTATGCCTTTTTTAACTGAACTCTATGTAAAATTTTAGAGTTTGACGAACTGGGGCTATGAGCAAAAATATCCAAAAACAAAACAGGAGCACGCATATTGAAATCGACTAAAAATAACTCACAAGCAATGAAAAAGGATTGAAGTGTATGCTGTCACGCTAGGTATATTATAGTAAGGAGTTGCACTCCTGCAAACTCCTGCAAAGTATTGGTTGATAACATTTATTTGTAATTATATTTTAAAATTTTTCTTATTAAGACAAAGTTAAAAAGTTAAAATTTCTGGCTATTATGGATTCTAAATACAGTTGCAGTTTATATTTTAATCCTTTGTTATCAAAGCGGAAGTAAGTAGTTTTGGCGTTCGACACTGCTGACTAATTTGTAGTTTATACTTAAAGAAATCAGAATCAAAATATCACTTGTTTGTTGTTATTATTCAAAATTTTCCAATTCAAGAAGACATTCATACGTTGTGTTTTCTATATTTCTACAAATTATTCAGTATGTTCAGATGGATATCTAGGTATACTTTGGCGTTTAGCACTTCCTGGTGTAGGCAAATATCTTTATACTAAGAATTATCGTTTACTGATTGACATTGAACCTTCGAGAATCAATGGTTTGGTCTTTGCTAGTCAAGTTTGACCATGCAAAATCGTCCTAGGGATCTAGAGAAGAAAATCTTTGCGAACTAATGGTTGCCATTGTTGCTCATGTTTAATCATACAAAGTCGTTCTAGGGAACTACAGATTAATTCTAATCTCAAGAAAAAGAATCCAAAGCAGATATGTGTTGTGGGAAAGTAGCAAACGTGCACCAACTGTATACTATCTGAGTGCTACAGTAAATCTTATAACATATAAATCTCCATTTCAATTGACATTAAGGTTTTATGTTTTAAATAAATTAATAATTTTATTGTAAGGAACTCTGGTCCAGCGAAAGACACATTAACCGAGAGACTTCGAGTGGGAAGAGTGTGAAATAATCTCCTGTATTGACGTCAACATAACTATTATGTATTAATATAAATATGTGTAAAATTACTTTAACCAATACTTAGATAATATTGTAATGAAGAGAAATACTAATTTAAAAGAAATTGCAAATACTTTTTAATCTTACCTTGTTATTAGTTGAAGTCATAGTTATTATTAGCATATAGTTATTAGCACATAGTTATTAACTATGTGTTGAGTATAGCTATTACATGATGAAGTAGTAATTACGTAGCTAAAAAGCTTCTTCACTAATTGAACTTCAATTTGTATTTAATTGACTTACTGACTCAATATATTTATTTGCAAATAATTACGCAAAAAACGTCAGTATTATTTATGTTGTGTTAAACATTTTTTTTTGGATCAACCTTATCTAAGAGCATAAGAGCAACCATAAATTGAATTAAATACTGTAATATTGTTATATATATGTTGGACCTTACTTCGCTTCATTTTTGATGTGAATATTTTTATTGAGTATCCTTACTCCTCGTACAACAAGGGACATAATTAATTTAAATTATATTTTTCACTGCAAGCTGACCATGATGAAATTAATTGAACATGGTTTTTACTTGTAAACAAAAATAATGTAAATACTTTAATTTTATACTTTTGTATAAAAATTGGACGACATACAGATTTATTTACTTAAATGACATTCACTTTTGCTTCTTTCCTTTTTTGGATGGCCTATA